TTGTCGGATAGGCCCCCCGCTCGAAAGGCAGCCCCCTTCTCGGGGCCCGACAGCCCGCACCCATGCCTGTAGCTCCTTCATCCCCTTGCCCTTCCCCGTTCCTTCTCCCCACAGGTTTGAGCATGTGTTGCTCCTTCATCAGATGTGGAGTCAAGAGGAAAGGGAGATCCTAGGGAGCAGGGGGGAAACCATGAAGCGCTAGCTGCTCCTGAGCAGATCTCCTCCCACTGGAAGCCACACTGGGATCCCCTTCGGGCCCTGTTGGGCCTGGTTGGGATCACTTTTCGCCTTCGTCGCCTTGCCCTTCCCCACTCCTCCTCCCGATAGGTTTAAGTCGGGCATGTCCCTCTACAGGAGGAATATCCAAAAATAGTCAAAAATAGCCTAGGGACGATTCTTTGATTATTTTTCGGTTATCCTTGGGCATGTTTAGAATCTTTCTTATTTTTCCTTTGAAATCTGCAGGGGGACATGCCCGACCTGACCCCTGGAGGTCTTGACCCATTCCCCTGGACCGGTTTTTCATCCTGAGTTGTTTTCTGACGGCCCGAGGGCCGGCGAGGGCCCCCAGAGGGCGACAATATCACAAGCCATTCGTCACGATTTTTTCATTGTTGCCATATGGGGGTCGAAGCAGGTTTGGATTTGTAGAAGACGGACTACTGCGAAAGCATTTGCCAGGGATGTTTTCATTGATCAAGGACGAAAGTTAGGGGATATACCGTCCTAGTCCTAACCATAAGCCATGCCGACTAGACATTGGAGGTCGTTATTTATACGACTCCCTTGAGCGTGTGCTGCCCGTTGGCCAAGACGGGGGGGGAGGGGGGGGGGGCCTGCGGCCCGCGTGGGCGAGCGAGGCGTCCGCCCCCGCCGTCCTCCTCGCCCTCGGGACTGCGCGGTGCGCGCGTTGCTGCCCCGGCCGCGCACGGCGCGGCCGAGACCGGCGTCGTTCGTTGGAGGTGCAGCGCTGCCTGGTGCAGTCGTATGCGGCAGGTGGAGCGGCACGTAGCGCGGCCGCAGGCATGCAGCCCAATGCCGCGTCTTCTTCTTGTTATCATTATTCTTCTTATTATTATTATTCTTCTTATTATTATTTTTATTATTATTCTTCTTCTTCTTCTTGTTTTTCGTCGTATTCAGTGTTGCTAGTATTTGTAGCGTTGGCATCTTTATGTATATCATTCGTATTCGCATTGGTATTTGCATTGTTGGTAAGATTAGCATTCGCATTATTATTACTAGTACTCGAATTACTCTTATTGTAAGTATTCGTATTATTACTATTCTGGGCCTGTGGGGGATGGGGCGCGTCGCCCTTCTGAGGCCGCCCGCGTCCGCCCTGTCATCCTTCCCATCTCGAAGAAGAACAAGACGCATAAGCATAAATGTTCGGATAACGCTTATAGCCCCCACGAGGGGAAGCGGATCTGTCTGATGCTGGACGAGCATCGCTTCATTTCAGAACGTGCTGTAAGTCACCCTAAGGCCTTTCAGGGGAGAGAAAAAAAAATGTTCGGAGCTCCGCGCGGAGTTCTTGGATCGGCGCCAGGCCCCGCCAGCGGCGTCCCCAGCGCAGTCCCTGGCGCGCTCCGCGCGCCAGGGAGGGAGGTCCAGCGCCGATCCAGGAACTCCGCGCAGGGCTCCGAAAGTTTATGCTTGTGCCGCACGCTGCTCCCCAGATCCTCTCCTGGCCCTTCTGCGGGGGGACCTCGCCGCCGCGGCTGGTGCCGCATCGAGCCCGGGGCCAGGAGGCGCTCCGGTGGAGGTCCGAGGGGCGAGGGGCCCAGTGGAGCCTGGAGCGGCCAAGGCCATCAGCTTCCTCGCGAGCTCCGCCGGTCGCCCCGGGACCCCTTTTCTGAAGCGGGAGCAGCCCCGAGAGAGTGTCCCAGATCGCCCCAATGTTCGGCTAGACGCAAGAGCGACCTTTCGCCGGAGTGACCGTTGGTGCGGGCACAGATGGGCCCCCAGATGGCCGAACGCGATGCGATAGTAGCGTCTTGCGCGATTGTCCTGGGCCCCCCCGCGGCCCCCAAGAAGCCGCGCACCAAAGGTCACTCTTACCCAAGGCCACTCTTGCGTGTAGCAGAAATGTAATCCCAGGACGCCCAGATGAGCTGCGGAAGAAGGCGGGGTCGTCTTCGGCGGTATGGGCGCGTGAGCTGCCCGCGTCGGTTCTCGCGCGCAGGCGCCGTCGCTTCCAATGCAGCCCGCCAGGCGGGCGGCCCGCGTCTGCTGCGGCGTAAGGCCGGTATGCCATCTCGCGTGAGTTTTTCCCAACCATCCTGTGGTGTTGGGTCCTCGTTTTGAAGAGACGGTGCCCCGCGTCTCCTCTCCTCTCCTCTCCTCCTCCTCCCCCTCCTCCTCCCTCCTCCCCCTCTTCCCTGCGCTTCACCCACCCAGTACAGCGTTTCGCAGCCCCATAGGAGCTCCACCGAAGGCACCAGTACCCGCGCCCGCATGCGTCACCCACACCCAATTCGGCACACCCCTCACACGCTTCGTGGCTCCATAGGGAGCTCCACCGAAGGCCCCAGTGCCCGCGCCCGCATGCGTCACCCACACCCATTTCGGCACACCCCTCACACGCTTCGTGGCTCCATAGGGAGCTCCACCGAAGGCCCCAGTGCCCGCGCCCGCATGCGTCACCCACACCCATTTCGGCACACCCCTCACACGTTTCGTGGCCCATAGGAGCTCCACAGTAGGCCCCAGTGCCCGCACCCGCATGCGTCAGCCACACCCAGTTCGGCACACCCCTCACACGTTTCGTCGTGGCTCCGATAGCGGACACCCCTCACACGCTTCGTGGCTCCATAGGGAGCTCCACCGAAGGCCCCAGTGCCCGCGCCCGCATGCGTCACCCACATCCATTTCGGCACACCCCTCACACGTTTCGTGGCTCCATAGGGAGCTCCACCGAAGGCCCCAGTGCCCGCGCCCGCATGCGTCACCCACACCCATTTCGGCACACCCCTCACACGTTTCGTGGCTCCATAGGGAGCTCCACCGAAGGCCCCAGTGCCCGCGGCCGCATGCGTCCCCCACACCCATTTCGGCACACCCCTCACACGTTTCGTGGCTCCATAGGGAGCTCCACCGAAGGCCCCAGTGCCCGCGCCCGCATGCGTCACCCACACCCATTTCGGCACACCCCTCACACGTTTCGTGGCTCCATAGGGAGCTCCGCCGAAGGCCCCAGTGCCCGCGCCCGCATGCGTCACCCACGCCCATTTCGGCACACCCCTCACACGTTTCGTGGCTCCATAGGGAGCTCCACCGAAGGCCCCAGTGCCCGCGCCCGCATGCGTCACCCACACCCATGTCGGCACACCCCTCACACGTTTCGTGGCTCCATAGGGAGCTCCACCGAAGGCCCCAGTGCCCGCGCCCGCATGCGTCACCCACACCCATTCGGCACACCCCTCACACGTTTCGTGGCCCCATAGGGAGCTCCGCCGAAGGCCCCAGTGCCCGCGCCCGCATGCGTCAGCCACACCCATTTCGGCACGCCCCTCACGCGTTCCGTGGCCCCATAGGGAGCTCCGCCGAAGGTCCCAGTGGGTGTGCCCGCATGCGTCCCGCACACCCATTTCGGCACACCCCTCACACGTTTCTTGGCCCCATAGAGAGCTCCACCGAAGGCCCCAGTGGGTGTGCCCGCATGCGTCCCGCACACCCATTTCGGCACACCCCTCGTACGTTTCGTGGCCCCGTAGGGGGCTCCACCGAGAAGATATTCACAATTGCAGTATTCACAATTGCATATGGTTGGGTCCTTCGCCAGGATAATTTGTTACGTCGCCCAGATGGACACAAGATGTGAATCCGGGGGGGGGGAAGGGCGTCGTGTGTCGCCCCGGGGAGAGCCTCCAGAGGCTCCCCAGAGCCTCGCCAGCACACCCTGTGGTCGCGACCGACTGTGAAAACACATGTGTTCCTCCAGCAATGGGTGGCGACACCGTCGCGAAAAATACACACACACAAGCGCACACACACAGCGAGGTGGCGGCACCGTAGCGAGTCGAATATATATATATATATATAGAACACACACACACACACACGCACACACACACACACACACACACACACACGGACGCACGCACGCACGCACGCACGCACGCACGCACGCACGCACGCACGCTTACGTTTTTCGTCGCGGCCCTGCGCGCGGCGGTGCGGCGTAGGCAGTCGAGCGGGAGCACGCGCGCGGCCGGGCCAGAGGGGGAGTGGGGACACACACAACACAACACCACACCACACCACACCACACCACACCACAACACAACACAACACAACACAACACAACACAACACAACACACACACACACACACACACGCGAGCAACGCAAAAGCACGGGGTCGTCTGCGCCGACATTGGCGCGGAAGCTGCCCGCCGAGGGTCGCGCGTAGGCGCCCTCGCTTCCGATGCAGCGTGTGGCGCGCGCGGCCCGCGTACGCCGCGGCGCAAGGTCGCTACGCCACCTCGCCCAAGACCGCTTTCTGATCGTCGCTCACATGATGCTGCCGTGCACCCATGATTACGCACGATGTCTTCGGGCAGCGCACCCCTCCGCAGCCACTGTGGCTCAAGCCATCCTGGCCGAGGCGGAGCTCGCTCGCGCCGAAGTTGCGGGGGGTGGGCCCGCGACACGCCCGACGGGCCAGGTGTCCTTCCTTGGGCGGCGGCGCACCGAGGAGGCCCCGTGTAGGAGTCTTCGATCTTGGAGCCGGCTGGGGGTCGGAGGCGGCTGGGTATAGGCTCTGGCGAGCAGGAAGGGGGGGCGGGAATCAAGGCTCTGGGCGCGGGGAGGTTTCACTCATGCCCCTTTCGGTCTCCAGGGACCGTTCTTGGGCCTGGGGGCCATTCGAAAACGGAGCCGGGGCGAAAAGCTGCATGCCCAGGGACCGATCTTGGTCGGATTTGCCTTCGTCCCCCTTTGCTTGGTCGCTGTCCCTGGGGCCCCATCCAACCCGGACCCTCGGCCGCCCCCCAGCTTCGATCACGCAGCCTCCGCGCGAATGCTGGCGCCCTGCGCCGGGGCGCCATGAGCTACCAGCGCCTCCTGGAGGCCGACGGGCGCCTGCTGGCCGTCCTGGAGGAGCGCCTCGCCGCCGCCGCCGCCGCCCGCGGCGGCGGCCGCGCCGACGCAGGCCACACCCAGCGCCAGAGCCTGGAGCCGGACCTCTCCGGCTCGGCGTGCTGGGAGGGGCTGGGCACCGCCGCCGCCCGCGGCGGCGGCCGCCCCGACGCAGGCCACACCCAGCGTCAGGGCCTAGAGCTGGACGTCTCCGGCTCGGCGCTCTGGGAGGGGCTGGGCACTGCCGCCGCCCGCGGCGGCGGCCGCGCCGACGCAGGCCACACCCAGCGTCAGGGCCTGGAGCCAGACCTCTCCGGCTCGGCGCTCTGGGAGGGGCTGGGCACCGCCGCCGCCCGCGGCGGCGGCCGAGCCGACGCAGGCCACGCCCCGCGCCAGGGCCTGGAGCCGGACCCCTTCGGCTCGCCGATCTGCCGCGCCCGGGAGCCGCCGGAGGAGTCCCCGCGGAGTTTCGCGAGCTCGCTGCCGCTGCCGACCGCGAGCGGAGGCGGCAGCGCTGGCGCGCAGGTGCGCCGCGGCGCGCACGCCGCGGGGCACCTGCAGGAGGCGCAGGAGGGTCGGGCGGGCGGCAACGGGGGGAGGACAAGAAGCGTGGGGCGGGGGGGTCGAAGGCTGCAGGAGGGTGGCTCTAAAGGTGCCCCACTGAGCGGCCCCTGAGCTGCCACCGTGGGCCCAAGAGTTGCACCAGATCGCGCACGCTGCTTCGCCCCACGGCTCTTGCCCCCCCGCTGTCCGCGGGCACGCCCGAGAGGGGATGCTGGCGCACGGGCGGCGCTTGAGGTCGGCGGAGCGGGCCAGCGGCGAGGCGGAGAGGTTCACAGAGTGCACGCACGGCGAGGCGGAGAGCGCCCGCAGGCGCTGGGAGCAGGCCTCGGAGCGTGCCGAGGGGGCCCACGGGGAGCAGCAGTGGCGTGCCCGCGAACGCGCGCAGCGGGCCCTGGAGGGCCAAGAGGCGGTCGTGGCAGAGGCCCTCGCCAGGAAGGTCCGCGCCCTGGAAGGGGCGCTCCACGGAGTGGCGGGCGCGCGCGAGGCGCTGGCCGCGCCGCCAGTCGAGGGGGCAGGAGCCGCAGTGGGCTGGCTAACAGCCGAGGCGAGAGCGCTGCGCGCCCTGGCGGGCGCCGACGCGCGCACAGTCGTCGGCGGCTGCCCGCAGCCGCCGAGCGAGCCGCGCGAAGCCCAGCGCCTGCAGGATCTGCTGGCGCGCGTCTTCGGGCGCCAGGCGGAGTTCGCGGCCAGGGCATGCTGGGGCGCGTGGAGGCGGTTGTCGCGGGAACGCGGGCACATGCAGGGGCTGCTGTTGCTCGCTGTCAGGTGCCAAGGGCGGCGCGCGGCCAGGTGGTGCTGGGGCGCCTGGGGGGTTGTGTCGCGTGAGGCCCAGTGGAGGCGGAAGCTGCAGGAGCGCGTGGCCGAGCACCACGGCAAGGCAGCGCGGCGTGCCTTCCTCGCCACATTTTGGGCAGCTTGGTTCAGCCTCCCGCGGGACGGCGGACGCAGGCACATGCTGGGACTGTTGGCGCACGCCATCAGGTGCCAAGAGCGGCGCGCGGCCAGGTGGTGCTGGGGCGCCTGGGTCGTTGTGTCGCGTGAGGCCCAGTGGAGGCGGAAGCAGCAGGAGCGCGTCGCCAAGCATCACGGCAAAGCAGTGCGGCGTGCCTTCCTCGCCACATTTTGGGCAGCTTGGTCCGGCCTCCCGCGGGACGGCCAGCTGTGGCAGGAGCGCCACCGCGTCATGAATTTGGTGTTGGTGGGCAGTTCCCTGGACCGGGACAAGATCTCCCGGAAGGAGCAGGAGGTTCTGTGGAGGTGCTGGCGCTGGGTCGTGGAGGGCCGGCGCAGGCGAGAGGCCTACCTCGTGCAAAGCTCGCGGTGGCAACTCTGCGGCTTCGCGCTGCGGTGCTGGCTGCTGTGGTCGGTGCCCACGCGTGCGAGACGCCAGCTGCGGCACCAGGGGCTCGCTGGGCCCCGCCTGGCCTTCTGCGGCGAGCCGACAGGCGAGGGATGGCAGGCGGCAGGGCAGCAGGTCTGGGCCTCCGGCGCCAAGCGGCGCCCGAGCGGCGCACTCGGCCCCAGCGGGGCGCGCGAAGGGCAGGCACCCCAGCTGGGCCCAGCACCCGAGGGGGGCCTGCGCGCACCGTCGGAGGAGGCCCTGGCGCAGGATCGCCTGCTGGTGGCAGAGGAGGCTCCACTGGCTCCGTGCCGTGCAGCACACTCGCGGGGCCGCCCGCACCTCGATGCGGCGCTCCCGGAGAGCCGGAGGCTCCCAGCGTCAAGCCACCCGGAGTGGAGGCGCACCTCTGTCTGCAGCGGCGGTTGGCAGAGCGCCGGCATCGCGGGGCCCGTGCCGCCCGCCTTGGCCTCCAGCGCGTGGAGCTTGGGGGCGGTCCCGGCAGGCCCAGAGCCAGCACCGCGCCCCGCGGCGCCCTCAACCGAGGGGGCGGGCGCAGAAGCGGTCGGGGCGGCGGCAGACTCGACAGCGATCGCCCCAGCCGATCCCAGCCTGGGAAGGGCCGCCGTCCCAGGCGGCCGAGCCAAGCCCGGCAGGCCCGCCCTGACCGTAGTGTGGCCTGCGTGGGGGCGGCAGGGGGGCGGCAGTACGGCCCAATCTCCCCACCCGGCGGCCGCCGTCAAGCATCGGCAGGGCGGCAGTCCAGCATGACGATGTCCAGCGAGGAAGAGGCTTGCGCCATTCAGCAGGGAGGCCGCAGTCCAGCAGTCAGCGTCGTCGCAGACGCGGGGCGGAGCAGCTCGCGTCGGGCAGCGAGGAGGCGGTATAGTCCAGCCGCCAGCCTCTCCTGCTGCCGAGCGGGCACAGCCGCAGACGGAGCAGTTCGCGCCGGGCATCGACGAGACGGCGGTCCAACCTCCACGACCGCCCGCTGCCCTCGAGGGCAGAGGAACAGCTCGCGCCGAGCAGCAAGGCGGCGGCAGTCCAGCTGCCAGCGCCTCCCGCTGCCGAGGCCCGAGGAGAAGCCGAGGATGGAGCACGGCGAGCAGGCGGACGTCCAGCCGCACGCGTCCTCCGCGCGCCCCTCGCTGGAAGCGTCCACGCGCGGGCTCCCGGGCGGCAGAGGCGGCTCTGCGGCGCGCTCACGGCTGGTGACGGGCAGCGCCTTCCGCAGCTGCGCGGTCCGCGCGCGCTTCGCTTCGTGGATCGTAGAGCGGTGGCTGCCAGCTGCGCGCGACAGCGGCTGCGCCCGCCGGCTTCACCGCAGGGGGCGCTCTTTCGTCGTGACCGGGCCGCGCCGCGGATGAGGCGCTTCCGCAGGCGGCCTCGCTCGGGCGGGGACCAGGACGAGGACATGAAGATCCGTTCCAGGGCAGTCCGGGACGCTTTCTCGGGCGCCCGAGAGAGCCTCTGGAGCCGCCGGAGCTCAGAGCTTCTCGATGTATCCTCACCCAGCGTTTGTCCTCTCAAGCAGTGGCGAAGCGTCCGGGCTCGCCTAGAGCCCTGCCAAACAATGTTCTGAGAACCTTTTTTATGGTTGCCACGGCATGTTCTTAGAGCATGTCTGGCGGAGTCTGTCTTGTGTTGAACACATCGGGTTCATGCTCTAAGAACACTGTTTGTTTTTGTGCTTAGAACAGTTTGGGGTTCTAAGAACACTTCGTGGTAGGACTATAGGAATGCCGGGACGGTCGGCCCTTGCTCAATCCTCGTCCTGGCTTCGTTCTTGCGTTGATGAGGCTTTTGGGTTCTATGAACATTTCGTGGTAGGACTATAGGAATGCCGGGACGGTCGGTCCCTGCTCAATCCTCGACCTGGCTTCGTTCTTACGCTGATGAGGCGAGCCTCGCCAGCGGCGCAGCGAGCTCGGCCGGGCCAGCGGTCTGAAGGAGCAGCGCGGCCCCTGCGGGAGCGCGCGGCGGCCTACTCAGCAGGCGAAGGCCGCCTCCGACAGCCGCATGTTCCTCCAGGAGAGGGGAGCCTGCGGCCCGGGAAGCGAGGCTTAGGTCGGGCATGTCCTCCTACAGGCAGATTTTGGAGGAAAAAAAGATCCAAACATATTCAAAAGTTGTGATGAAAAATACAAGTCGTCCCAAGATGATTATTTGACTAGTTTTGAGTTTCCCTCCTGTAGAAGGACGTGTGCCCGACTAAAAGCGAGGCCCGCCTCGCATCCCTGCTCAATCCTCGTCCTGGCTTCGTTCTTACGCTGATGAGGCGAGCCTCGCCGGCGGCGCAGCGAGCTCGGCCGGGCCAGCGGTCTGCAAGAGCGCTGCGCGTGCCGCCGCGGGAGCGCGCGGCGGCCTACACAGCAGGCGAAGGCAGCCTCCGACGGCCGCACGCCCTTTCCTGGGAAGGGGCGCCCGCGGCCGGGGAAGCGAGGCTTAGGTCGGGCATGTCTTCCTACAGGCAGATTTTGGAGGACAACTAAAACATATGGAAAATATACCAAAATGCTCAAACATCTGATTTCCCGTTTTTTCTGACAAACATACATCATAATGAAAATAATCATACTAATAATAATCATACGACTAATAATCAGAATCACGAGACAAATAATAATAGTGATAATAATAATATTAGTATTAATAATAATAGTAATAATAACATTAATAATAGTAGTAATTCTACTACTACTAAAAATAATAATAATAATAATAATAATAATAATAATAATAGCAATAACAATAACAACACCAATAATAATAAGACGACTACAAATACTAATAATAACAACAATAGCAATACGAATACTTATAATAACAAGAAGAAGTATGCTAACAAGTTTTGTTTTTAACAAAAAAAACCCCATGCTATCATTTGACTATTTTCCTGTAGAGGGACGCGCCCGACATCAAGCGAGGCCCAGGAGGCTGCTCCGCCAGCAGCTCTAGCGCCGCGTGGAGCCCATGTGCCCCCTCTCGAGCCTTGAAAGAAAACCAAAAAACACGACGGGAGTTTTTTTTTTCGCTGTTTTCGGCGTCTGGGGGCCCTCACCGGGCCTCGGGACGGTCAGAAAACGACTCAGGATGAAAAACCCGTCCCGGGGAATGGGTCAAGGACCGTGGGGGGCGACGGGGTCGGCGTTCTGAACAAATCATGACGTCGGGGGTCTGGGTACAGCAGTGAGCAAAGTACGTAGGCGGTTGCACTGGCTATTAGCGACCTGGTGTAGCCGATCGGCACGATGCAATTGCAGGTGTGTGTGTGTGTGTGTTTGTGCGTGTGTGCGTGTGCGTGTACGTTTCGAACCGCCCTCGGCATGCTTGAGAATCGGTCTCGATCTGCCCGAGGCGTGATGTGCGTGCCTCAGCTCAGCCTCGTGTCCTGCGGCGGGCTCGTCATCCGCAGCTGGTGGATGTCATGTAAATACATTTGCCTGTTCGCTTGAGGCACTCCAAAAAGGGCGTTGCCTTCACGGGGTGAAGAAGTTGCCATTTCTTCCTCGGCGGAAGGCGGCGGAAATATAACGAGGTTGCCTCAGCTTGCGGAAGTAAGAATCGGTTTCCCAAGTGACGGCAAGATTTTGATGCTCAGGGTTTCTCGAACTCGCCATTTGCCCTGGTGTTACACAGTAGATGCACATTTGATCTACCCAGCGCAGCCTTGATTAGAGGTGATCATACCGCGGAGGAGATATATACGCAATGATATGCGCTGATGCGTCACACTATGTAGCGCAAAAACATGTATGTCATAGCAGTGCGTGCATAGCTGCGCTTGACATTTGGCACAGCACATGGTTTAATGCTGCATGCCACTGTAGACGTTGCGTGTGTAGCACAGCATGGCGTAGCACGGCACAGCGTTGCATGGCATGGCATTCGCATAGCATCGCATTACGTACAATGGCGTAGCATAGCGCATCGGAGTACGACATCGTGTTGCGTAGCATCGAATTGGACACAACAGCATGGCATTGTAGAACAAGTGGTAGCATTGCACAGCATAGCATCACGTTGCAGCGCATGGCATCGCACAGCATGGCATAGCATGGCACCCGTGAACCAGGTGCCTGAGCGACCCCACAGCCACTCCTGTTACAAGAGGCCGGGCGCTCTTGGCGCCCCAGGAGGCCAGATGGTCACGGGGTTTTCTGCACGGAACCATTCAGGATCAGCTGGGCACTCGGAGGTAGGAAGTGCGTGGCAATCGCCTCCGCGGCGCCGCGCCCCCGAGCACCCGCCTGCGACCTCGTCCCCCTCCTCCCTGCGGTCGCCCCCTGTGCTGCTGCCCGCGCATCCGCCCCGCCTGCCTCGACCGCCTCCTGTGCCCCTCCTCCCTCGAGGGGCTGCTGCTGCGGTGGAGCTGCCGCCGCCCTTGCCCCTCGCGTCCTCGTCGGCCAGCCTCTCGCATCCTTGTCGGCCAGCGAAACGACGACGACGACGACGACGACGACGATGACGATGACGATGGCGAGAACGACGACAATGACGACGACGATTACGACGGCGACGACGACGACGACGATGACGACGACGATGGCGGTGACGTGCAGCGCAGCGCCGCACGCCATGGAGCTTCAGCTCCGGCCCTGGCGGCCCAGTGCCGCGGCGGACGGCGCAGCCGAGCTGGCCTTCCCTTCGCGAGCGTGGCTCCCAAGGGGCCCCCGCGGCGGGCCGGCGGGCCCCACCGAGGGCCAACCGACGCACAAGTCGCAGCGAGCCCTTCTCTCACAGCTGGGCTGGTTGGAGGGAGCCCCTCTCCTGCAGAGGGGCGGGCGGAAGAACACGCTGTCACTCTATTCCGGCTTTAACAGTTGGCCCAGATTAGGTCGACCCTGCCAAATCAAGGGCACCCTTGTGCCCTGTGTCTCGCGACCCATGCTTCCTGCATTCCTGTGGCAATGTGGCCCTCGGAAGGGTCTTGTGTCCTCTCGCGTGTCCTGTCCAATCGAGTCCGACCGTAGCGATTGCGGAGGCACTCGCCGGCGGCGGGAAAGCCCGCCTTGGCCCATCGCCCGCTGCTGCTTGCCCCCTGCCGCGGCCCCGGTGCCGGCGCTCGCGCGCGGCCGTCTGGTCTGTCTGGGCCAGGCCTGGCCGCGGCTCGTGCCTACAATCAGGGAGTCCCAGCTGCGACGCCAGCTGGGGCATTCTCGCGCGGTCGCCACCCCCTTTTTGTTGCCCACACTTGGCACGTTTCGCGCCCAGCATGGGGGCCCGAGTTACCACCCCTTGCGCGCTCTGCGCGCCACAGGGAGCCCAACTACGGCCCTAGTGAGGACATTCGCATGTGGTCCGTGCAACCGTGCTGGCCCACCACGCACACGTCCGGCGCCCCAGAAGGAGTTCCAGACGCGCCGTGGGTGGGTGGGGTGGGGGGGGGCGTTTGCATGTGGCCGTCGCAAACGCTTTGGCTCTCCTTGCCAGCTTCTCGTGCCACATAGGGGTTCTCAACTGAGGCCCCAGAGGGCTCGACCGCATCGTGCTCGGAGGCCCATCGCCCAATCCCCAGTGAGGACGTTGCACGTGACCGTCGCATCCAGCTTGGCTTGCCCCATCGCGCGATTCGCGCCCCGCAGGGAGAGTCCAATCACGGCCCATGTAAGGGCGACCGCGCGAAATCGACGCGCCCAAAAAAAACGTGCAAGAGGAGAGAAAGTGGGCGATGACGACAGCGGAAGACAATGAGGGTTGCGAGAGCAAGCGCAACGCAACGACAACAGTGTGGACAGCATGTGGTGCTGACGGCGGTCTGGCACAAAGCGTCAGCACTCATGCACAAGATGTGACGACTGTCGCATCGTGCATCCCCACCAGCCCGTCCAGCAACGATGCCCAGGCGAGCTGCACTGATCTTAAGTCGGGCCTGTCCCTGGAGATATATTCAAAAATAGTCGGACACATAGTCTTGTGATGATTTTTCGAATCTGCTTTTGACCACTTTGTTTTTGTTCGACTATGTTTTATTTGTCGTCCAAAATCCCCCCTGTAGGAGGACAGGCCCGACTTAACACTGATCAGGGAAGTGTGGGAGCATGCAGAGGGACAAAATGCGGAGAGGGGGGGGGGCATCCGTCAACCTGAGCAGGCCCAGGGGTCAATTATTATAACTACAACTTCGCGGACCTCTCGATGTCGGAGTGTGTCTTGGGAGCTTCTTTGGGCCTCGCCGGGGCCATGTTGGAAACCTGTTGGAGCCTTCTTGGGACCCTCTTGGGAGCTGTGGGGGCGCTCTTGGGACCATCCGGGAAGGCATCGATCTAAGAAGGGGGGGTCCTAAATTGGGGCCCCCCCCCTTCGGAGTCCCAAGAATCGCCCAGGGGGGGGGCCTCTTGGGGCGCTCTTTGAGCTCTCTTGGGCTCTTGGGGCTGTTTTGGAGCCCTCCTAGAGCCCTTTCAGGGCCCTCTTGGAGCCATATTGGACCCATCTTGAGGCTTCGAAAGCCCGTCGGAAGAGAAAAAACGAGAGGGCAGACCCCCCCGTCGAGACCAAGGGGGAGGGTATATCGGGAGGGGCCAAGCTAC